TCTCTGCACATCCGCGAGATCTTTACTCTTTGCGCATTTGCTCTTTGGAAAAGTAGCTTCTACTACAGTGCTAACAACTCGTGTAAAAAATTTTACTGTGAGTATCAATTAAGTGTGTGATAATAGCATCAGGAGGAGCCCTTCAGAACAAATCACCTAGGATCGTGATGGCGAACCTATGGCACGTGTGCCACAGTGGCACGCAGTGCCCTCTCTGCGGGCATGCCAACCGGTGTCCCACTCCAGCTCCACCGCGCATGTGCGTGTGCCTCCCGCTGGTCAGTTGGCCTTCAGGTCTCTGCCACATAGGGGGGGGGGGGGGGGGCGGAGCACATGTGGGGGATGCACGTGTGCATGCACGGGGCGGGGTACATGTGCGGGGCACTTACAGGGTTCGCGCATGTGCACGCAACCCCCCATGCCCCGTTTAGGAAAGCTTCCTCACCAACCCGGAAGCCAAAATGGGACATGGGGGGGCATGTGAGGCCCCCCTGCACCCTATTTTGGGCCTGGAAAGCCTCCTGCAACAACCTGGAAGCCAGAACACGGACCGGAGGGAGCGTGGTTTCACATGCTGCCTACATCCCACAAATTGGGGTTCGCTTGTTTCTGCGGCCCGGTTTCTGACATGAGCGATACTGGTCCGCAGACTGGTTGTTGGAGATATGAGCTACTGAGGTACCATAAGACTGCATTCAAGCATGCGTATTTAGAATTACCTGTCACTGCTAAAAATATTTGTTTTAAGGATTCCTCTGCTTGAATATATTGGCTATTTGGAATGTTGAATCAGGAAATTCAGTTCAAGGCAATATGTTCCGATTTTTTTTTCCTTGACAGCTGGGATTTCTCAATCCCGTAAACCAATTTTTCAACCAAATCTAACAGCCAATTATAGGGGAAAGCCTTCATACTTATTCCCATTTTTGTGGTGAAGACTGGAATTATTGTCAGTAACAACCTGGTATCTGTGTGTGAGAGAGAGAGAGAGAGAAACAGACAAACACACACAGAATTGCTCTGTGCAGAATCTTGCAAATAGAAGATACATCTCATCATCATCATTCATGAAAAAAAAAATCTCAGTGTTACAGAATGTGAAAATTCAACACAAACTGCAGTAAATTATATGTCAGTAAAGAGCAATTATTCCTTCCTACTCTGAATTTTAATGTCAGTAACATTAAAGTCACACGTCACAGTTTCTGAATGCCAAAATCCAGAAGGATAGTTATGTTTTAAATATGCATAAATTGCTTTCTGCCAGTTCTTGGATTCTTTTTAAAGCTGTATGAAAAACAAGCAGGGGAGGAGGAGGGAAGATTATTCACAAAAGGGCTGTATACGTAATGTGGTTTGATTTTAAAGCCCGTTAATTTGAAGAGCCCTAGCAGCGCAGTGTTTAAAGTGCAGTATTGCAGGGAAGCTCTGCCCACAGCCTAGAGTTTGATCCTGAATGGGGTTCAAGGTTGACTTAGCCTTCCATCTTTTCGCGGTTGGTAAAATGAGGAACCAGATTGTTGGGGGCAATATACTGATGTTATAAACTGCCTAGAGAGGGCTGTAAAGAGAGGGCGATATATAAACCTAAAATGCTATGCTATCCTCTGCTATGCTAATTTGCTAATTTTTAAGCACCATATGTTCAGTGACCTCTCAATGCTAATGTGTTTATACTCTGAGAAACATAAATACTTAATGATATTGCAACAGAACAGGACAATTCCAGTCAGGTCCAGTTAGCCGTAACTGGGAAAGGAACATGGGCAAAACAGGACAGACGGATGGACAGACAGACAATCTGTCTGTCTGTCTTATCATCTATCTCTCTGCCTGCCTGCCTGCCTGCCTGCCTGCCTTATCTATCTATCTATCTATCTATCTATCTATCTATCTATCTATCTATCTATCTATTGATCTATCTATCTATCTATCTATCTATCTATCTATCTATCTATCTCTACTACCTCCCTACTTATCTATCTATCTATCTATCTATCTATCTATCTATCTATCTATCTATCTATCTCCTTATCTATCTCTATCTGTCTATCTATCTACCTATCTATCTATCTATCTATCTATGATCGATCTATCTATCTATCTATCTATCTATCTATCTATCTATCTATCTATGATCGATCTATCTATCTATCTATCTATCTATATGATCTATCTATCTATCTATCTATCTATCTATCTATCTATCTATCTATCTATCTATCTATCACACACATGCACACAGAAGTCTTCTCCAGCACCATCGTTCAAAGGCCTCAATTCTTTGGCGCTCAGCCTTTGGTCCAACTTTCCCAGCCATACATTGCAACTGGGAAAACCATAGCCTTGTCTATACGCACAAATTGTCCTTACATCTAGCCTATATGTGGTTAAAGCAAGTATTATTGCTGCTCAATGAAGGCTTAATAAGCCTTTTCGTCTGAAAATTGTTGCCAACTGACTTGCAGTACTGCAAAGACTTGTGCATTAATCATGTGACAGGATAACACTTCACTGCACATGGGTTTTTTTCTTTTTTCATACAAAAATGTGGAGCCTGCCTAAATGCTGTTAAAAGCACAGCTGGTTTAACTTAATCTGTCTCCCACATTAATTGCACAGTCAATTTCTCCAATCTGGCTCCTCGTCGCCGACTGTTGCTTGAAGGAGAATGGAGAAATGTGCTAATGAGAACAAACCTTTTCATATATTAACAGAGATGAAAGGACAAAATTTGGTACGAGGCTGCCATTCTGCATGTTCTCGGTAATATGCACTTATACCTTGATAAGGGTAGTAACCAAAAATGTCTCACGTGCAGGAAAAGTTTAATTTTTATTCTGAAGTTCAGGTACAATGAGAAAAAAAATTCTATGTATATATCAGAAAACTATTCCATGAAAGCTGTGTATTTTAACTTTTCAGCTTTTTCAGATACGATGTAAACAATCAAGTTATGTTGTCTTCTGTAAATATTGTTTATTTTGTACGTTCTGTATAAACAACTTCATTGGATTCTCTCTTATTCAAATCTGGCAACATTTACAAGTTGTTATAAATGGATATCTACCACCCTACGGAAAAAACTTAATAATGACTTATCAAATCTGTATTGTTGGTCACAGACTCTCTCCTAAGTTAAAGCATATGTAATAACGCACTTGTAAAACCTGCTTGTAAACTTGGCTGTAAAACTTTCTATCTCTTCTTCAAAGATTTATGTCATCTAACTAGAATTTAATATATATATGTTTTCTGAGGTTTTCGCGGGTGTTTGTATGTAGGTCTTTGGTTATTCGGGTTTTCTCCCGCGTAAAATTGGAGGTTTCTTGGCAACGTTTCGACGAAGTCTCATTCGTCATCTTCAGGCTGGTGTTCTCGGCTTTGTGCTTCTAGGAGCAATGTGTGTGATCGCAGCTGTTTCTTCCTTTTAACTGCCAGTGGGGGTGTGAACTGATTGGGTGGGAGCTTGGCTGTGTTCTGATTGGTTGGGGGTTTTGGTTGGGGGTATATATATAGTGAGCAGAAAGATAAGTCTTACTAAATTGCAAACCAAAGAAGGTCAACAGAAAACTCTTTCAATTAGTAGTATTTATACAAGAGGTCTAATGGATCTCCAAGTGAAGAGAAGTCTACAATTGCATGAAAAAAATTAATGATCTCTACTGAGCATGTAGATAAACAATATGCACTTTCCAAGGGATCTGCTAACTTCTTCAGTATTACTGCACAGTTCTATTTTTAAAACTAAATAAAACTGGATTAATGACACTACCGTACACTGCCTCACATGCATTATCTCGGGTATTTCCAAAACACGGACAAGGACTTAATGCAGCTCCCCTTTTAATTAGCTAACACTCATATTAAATAAATAAAGCATTTATTTTAGACATGCTGTAGTGGTAGTGCTAGAGAAGACACAACTTAGAAGGAGATACAATTCGGAATAAAGCATTTTGTTTGCATGGTAACATATTGGTAGAAGATTTCATTCTTCTAGAGCCGTGATGGCAAACCTATGTGGGCATGCGCAGTGTTGCACAGTACAGCTGGTCCAGCACACATGCGCACCAGCCATCTGCTGTCTTTCAGGTTCCAGCTGTCCAGCACGCATTGGAACCCGGAAGACAGCAGCTGGCTGATGCGCATATGCATGATGGAACCCAGAAGAGGTTTGCGCACCGGCCAGCTGCTCTCTTCCAGGTTCCAGTGCTCCGGCGTGTGCACATGCGCTCCAGTTTCAGCACTCAGTGCCGAAAAGGTTAGCCGTCACTGTTCTAGAGCTTAGGTAGGGGGGATCAACAAGCAAAATTGCTGGAAGGCAGAGGCAGATTTTTTTTTCTTGTTTTCCTCACCAAAAAAGGTAGGTGCGTCTTATAGTCCGGTGTGTCTTATACTCCGAAAAATACGGTAGTCACAATTACAAAGTCAGTTCTGACTTTGGCAATGTTATTTATCCTCATTATATTTGCGGCCTTTCTTAAAAACTGCTACAAAGAGAGGCATTGTTCTCTGCTCTTCGTTCAGCAAAAAAGCAGATAATGCTTATTAGCTGTACTCCCTCACTTAATCCACAACATACTTTCTGTTTGTCGTTTTAACAAGGTACACACAGTGGAAGTTCAAATACATTACCAAATCTTTTCCCACACAGGTAGAAATTATGCGAATCAAAATTCCCTCTGAATAGACATGCCTAGGGTTACATTATTTTACAATACAACCATTCATACGTTTATTGAAAAATAAATCTTATTAAATGAATTTCACTGCCATCAAAACAGGACTTATTGCATCCTTCAATTGCTGCTGTTATATTTATTTCTCTGCATTAATTACCTCACAGTAACCAACACCTTTTTAATGCATATTCCACATGCTTGATCACATAAAATCTAATTTAGGTGACAGAATTCTATATTGAAATCCAGTATGAAAACATTGCCCGCTTGAACTAAAAGTTACCTCTTTTGGAGGCATATGCAGTGTTTACTTACCTACTATTTTCTGCAGCAAAGGGGATAACTCTGGTTCGTCGCAAATAGCTTGGACAAAGGCTTCCTTCACTTGACTTTCAGCCTCATTTAATTCTTTCCCAGTTTTGACTTCTCCCACGATGGAGTAAATATACACCAATAATAGAAGTAATTCTTGGGGAGTGTAATCATCATCCGTCCTGTTACTGGAAGGCTTGATAATAGGTAGCAGTTGCTTCAGTGCATTAAATAATGTTGACTCACCGATATTCTGAAAGCAAAAAAAAAAAAAAAAACCAAACAAATCCTTAATTTTACACTTTAAAATCAGAAAAATCAAGGAGGAATCCTGGGACAAAGACCTATACCCATGATGGCAAACCTATGGCACACGTGCCACAGATGGCACGTGTAGCTATATCGGTGGGCAAGCGATCCGGAAGTTGGCAAATGGGCCGTTTTCGGCCTCCGGAGCAGTGGGGAAGGCCGTTTTTGCCCTCCCCAGACTCCTAGAAAGGCTCTGGAGGCTGGGAAGAGCAAAAAATGGGCTTACCATGCCATCGCATGCCAGGTGCAGGGGGACCGGGTGGGGGTCGCGCACGCATGTAGGCAAAAAGGTTAGCCATCACTGGCTATACATTTTAAACTGCTTTTAGGAGGTGCAAATTCAAATGTTGCTATTACAAACCTTGATTCTCTTTAGAGTAAACCTTTCCAATCTGTGTTCCCTTAGGTTTTGGACTACAATTTCTACCATCCCTAGCCAGAAGGATCACTGATTAAAGTTAATACAATTGAACCACAATTGAGCCCAAAATTTTTGTTGCTAAGTGAGAAATTTGTGAAGTGAGTTTTGCCCCATTTTACAACCTTTCTTGCCACAGTTCTTAAGTGAATCACCACCGTTTTTAAATTAGTAACACGGTTGTCAAATGAATCTGACTTCCCCGTTGACTTTGCTCGTCAGAAGATGATCCCATGACCCTGGGACACGGTAACCATCATAAATAAGAGTCAGTTGTCAAAGATCTGAATGTAAATCATGTGAGAGACCACGAGGATGCTGCAATGGTCATAAGTGTGAAAAATGCTCCTAAAGTCACTTTGTAACTTCAAATGGTCACTAAGCAAACTGTTGTAAGTTGAGGACTACCTGTAGTTGTTGCCTTGGAACATAAACATTGTAGACAGCCTTCCAATTCATTTCATCCAGACACATTTCCCCAGAAAAATGATTTCACAGAGGAAAGAGACGAGGATGGAGTGCGCTGTTTTATATCACTGCTGCCAAATCCATTCATAAAATAACACTACAATACAGTCTCTTAACTAATTCAAGGATAGGGTTTAAATATAACATGATACGACATCTCTTTCTGAAGTTTCACGGCTTGGTGAAGACTGCCTATTGTAATAATTGACTTATATTTTCCATATGGAAGGAAGAAAACTGGACTGTAAATAGGGGGTGGGGGGCTGACTTGTTTAAAATTGTGTACTTTTTAATGGTTGCACCCAGAAAAACACATACATTTGGAAGAGAAAAGATGCTTTAAAAATGCCATCTCTTTTCCTTCCATATCTTTCTCTGCCTTTGGATTTATTTATAAGAAGTACCGTATTTTTCGGACTATAAGATACACCTAAGACACACCTTAAATTTAGAAGAGGAAATCAACAAAAAAATGTTTTTGGCCTACCCCTTTTGGGGCCTTTTTTGGGGGGGGCATTTTTTGGGCTTTTTTGGCCTGTTTTTGAGGCTTTCTTTGGCCCGTTTTCAGAGCTTTTTTTTGGCCCATTTTCGAGGTGTTTTTCAGCCCATTTTTGAGGGTTTTTTGGCCCGTTTTTTTCAGAAAAAATGGGCCGAAAAAAGCCCCGAAAATGGGCCCAAAAAGCCCTGAAAATGGGCCAAAAAAGTGTCAAAAATGGGCCAAAAAGCCCCAAAGACGGGCCAAAAAAAGCTTCATGAACGGACCCAAAAACCCTCAAAAACAGGCTGAAAAAAGCCTCAAAAATGGGCTGAAAAAAGGCCTGAAAAAGGTGTGTGGAGGCCAACAAATGGCTGGTGGGTGGGTGGGACGTTGGCAATATTCGGTCTAAAAGACGCACAGACATTTTCGCCCCCTTTTGGGAGACAAAAAAGTACATTTTATAGTCCGGAAAATACAGTAACATCACTTCCACCCCCTTAAAAGTCTAGTTTTTCTGTCAAGTCACATAATTAAAGTTAAATTTATCGGAGTTGTAATCTGACTCTGCCCTTTTCCTCTGAGATGCTGGATCTATTTCAAGGAAAATATGCTGACTTATTGGCAATCTGGATACAGTGAAAAAAAAAATCAGTCCAATTGTTGAGCAGTTATTCCCCAAATTGGCACTTTCTGTATATATCAGACGGTGGTTGTGCTTGTATTCTCAGCTGTAGACTTTAATTGTATTCTGGAATGTCAAGTTGAAGATCTCCACTGAACGCAACCTCACACAGGGATGTTTTGGGAAGAAACTCACAGGCACCCTTTGTTAAATTTGGGTGGGACTGTCAAGAGCACCAAAAGAATTAATTCCGTAAAGTTTAATGTTGACATTAACAGAGAGTAGTGAGATAATATAGAAAGGAGCACCAATTAGTTAGTAGAAGTCTGTAAAGATACTCAGTGATCCAGGTCACCATTGTCCCAAATGTGCTTTTTCAGGAGGCAACTGGACTTGGTTTTTTCTTTGAAGACTTTTGACTTTTAGCTATACAATTTGGGATGAACACCCTTGGAATGATGTGGGAGTAGGAATGGATTTCCAGAGGGAAAATCGAAGACTACAGGAACCAGGAACACTACTCAGGTGACCCTGAGGAGACAGATAAACCTCCAAGTGCTTCAACAACCCTCTAAAAGGATGCAAATGACCAGCTATCTGCAAGGAAAATAAATCCTTCCATTCCCCACCATCCTATCAGAGCTGAAGAAGCTTCTTGGATGAGAAGCGAAACATCTTCAAAGAAAAAAACATGAAAGTCCAGTTGCCTCCTGAAAAAGCACCTTTGGGACAGTTGGTTAGTAAGTTAGTTTAGTTTATTGATTAGCCCATAGGCCATATCAAAATACAGAGTTCCATTTTATTACTAAAAATCCTATTAAAAACAATTTAAAATGAAATTGGTATAAAGTAATTTATTATATAGATAAATAAAATAAGATAACATTATATTTCAGTATCACCCCTACAATCCACCCCAAAATTTCTGTTGCGAAGTGAGACGCGTGTTAAGTGAGTTTTGTTCCTTTTTATGACCTTTCTTGCCATAGTTGTTAAGTGAATTACTGTAGTTGTTAAGTTAGTGACAAAGTTGTGAACTGAATCCGGCTTCCCCATTGACTTTGCTTCTTAAAAGGTTGCAAAAAGTAATCACATGAACCCGGGACACTACCGTGGTCATAAATATGAGTCAGTTGCCAAGTGTCTGAATTTTGATCATGTAACCATGGGGATTTTGCAATTACTGCAAGTTCATTAAGAGCCTTGGTGGCGCAGCAGACTAAAGTGCTATTAAGTAGCACCAGTTGCCTGCAATTACTGCAAGTTCAAATCTCACCAGGCTCAAGGTTGACTCAGCCTTCCATCCTTTCCAGGTAAGTAAAATGAGGACCCGGATTGTGGGGGCAATAAGCTGACTTTGTATAAAAAAAGAACACTGCTTAGGGGAGGCCGAAAGCCTTACTAAGCAGGTATATACTAAAGTATGAAGGCTATTGCTTAACGCATTGTAAGCCGCCCTGAGTCTCTGGAGAAGGGCGGCATATAAATCTAACCAATAAAAAAATAAATAAATAAATACTGTCATTAGGAGGTGAAAAATGGTTCGAAGTCGCTTTTTTCAGTGCCGTTGTAACTTTGGATGGTCACTAAATGAACTGTTGTAAATCAAGGACTACCTGTATCTGCACACAGGGGCCTACCTACATCTGCTAGAACAGGGGTGTCAAATTCACGTCATCATAGCGGCGTATTGGGAGACTTTTCCCCTTCGCTAAACGGGCATGGGCGTGGCCAGCACATGGGCGTGGCCAGCATGTGACGCATCTGGCTCGTGGGCCGGGAGTTTGACAGCCTTGTGTTAGAATGAAAGAACTTAAGGCAGATGTAACATGGCTTACAGTTTGATTAAACATAAGGACACCAGGCTTGTCCCGCAAGCTTGTGGGGCAGACATATTGCTACTTGAGAGGTGTTAATCACCCTCATCTCCCTCTTCTTGGTTCCTGAAGTACAGCAGGAAAGGGAAACAGGATGAATTTATTTTTCTTGCTCCCACTGGCTCTTGGGAGTGAAGAACTCTTTGTTAAGACAGCTTGCAGCCCACACAGGCCCAGATTATGTGATATCTAGAGAATGCCAGGCTGGAGAAAACTGAGAAAGCAAGCCAATTGTTTCATTAGTGAGATAGTTAGTGTGTAGACCAGGTTATTTTCAACTTCCAGTCTCTTTAAAGCTAGCATTTATATTTACACTTAAAAGAGAAAATAAGAACCTGCTTTATTGCCTAAACAAAGAGGCTGCCGGGATAAAGGGCTTGTATTATAAGCAGGGTCTTAGTCCTTGCACTTTGATCATCTTCTGTGGGTAAAAGTTTAAAAAAGAAGAAAGAATGGCAGTCTCAGCTGTAGACTATAATCTGGTTTAAGGTTCCCGTTTTTAAAGAACTAGCATCGTTTTCTTCGAACAAAATAAAAGATCCTGAAGCTCAGATTTTAATCCCCTTCAATCAGAATAGAGCTGGAAGGGACCTTGGAGGTCTTCTAGTCTAACCCCCGGTCAAGCAGGAGCCCCTATGCAATTTCAGACAGGTAGATAGATGTCCAGTCTCTTCTTAAACCCTCCAGGGATGAAGCACCCACAATTTCTGAAGGCAAGCTGTTCTATTGGCTAATTGTTCTGTTAGGAAGTTTCTCCATAATTTCAGGTTGCTTCTCTCTTTGATTAGATGCCTAATTTTAATTTTAAATGCGTAAAACGTCTTTTTCAGATATTCATAATTCTAAACAAATTAATTAAAACTAATACATTAAATATTCTTCTGAATGAATGCTGAGCCCCCTCATTACCAAGACAGCTGTCCCTGGAGAAAGTCAAATTTCTTTCAATTAAAAAGGATTGAAATGTTTTGAATTGCATTTTAAAACAAAATAGTAAATAAAGAATAAAATAGTAAATAAATATATAAATATATAATTAAATAAATAAAAAGTAGTAAATAAAATAGTAAATAAAGAATAA